AGTAACAATAGACTGTTATTCGTGAACAGCTTAAAATGAGGTTAACTAGCCTAGCTTTTATATTTATTTTCTCAAAGTTTTCAGTCAAATGGTCAAATTAGCTTCAATAGTTTCTAAATTATATTATAACCAATTGTTATATCGGATTTCTTATATCAGATCACACTTTTATAATATCGTATACATATAAGTACATCGTGGCTATGTTCCTCTTGTCTTTACAAATAATTCGGCTTTAGTAGAAGAATTAAAATAAATTATATAAGATGCAAAAACTTTGACTAACTTATTCCCTGCGCTATATTTTAAGAAAAATTTAAATTTAAATACCTTTATGTGAGTTGAATCGAAATTGTAAATGAACCAGCTATTTTAAGGAAATGCATTATTTTAGCTTCAAAATTATTAAATTCATTTGAAGATTTTTTTTCTCTCGAACTCCCGTTGAAATCTCCCAAAACGTTCTCTCATATATTTTCATTATAAACTCAATAATGTTGGTTATAAATTAAACATATGGGATTTTATCTAAAAACTGTTATATTTTATTTAAACACAAAATGTCAATAAAACTTAAGAGCTCAAAATTTTATTTCGAAATATAACATTTCTAACCTACATATAGAACTTTATTTATTTCAATATTTTCTTATACTTTTATTTTCTATTTTCATTATATTATAATTGTATTATGTATAATAGTTGAACCCTTCCATATACATTTTCTCTTTTTCAAAAAGAACAAAAACTTCTATATGAAAACATACAATATACGTACACATATTCATGTACATATGTATATATTGTAAGAGCATTCAAATTTTATCTCCCCCATTTCGTTATAATATTTAGATATAGAAAATCTAGAACTCTTGTCAAATAAGTTATTAATTTATTTCCTTTTTATTTGTTTTGATCCTTGCCGTATTTTCGTAATTCGGTCTAATGATGATAATGAAAACATTAAACCTTAAATTTATAATTAAAAGTAAAAACAAATAAAGACATTAAGAGATCGGTTCGGTTCATTATAGATTTTTTTTTTTGTTTTTCTAACTTTATTTTTCTTTCTCTTGTGTTTTCTTATGTTGATTTTTATTATTTTTTTTTATGTTTTATTGCTTGCTTCTAATTTCATTAAAATTCATTTTCAAAAATATTTCCAAATGAAAAAAATATGTTAGAAGTTGTGTTTCGTAACCAAGAATACATTTTTGATGGTCCATTGCCTTACATTGTGTTACATTGCAAAACAAAGTTTTGTACATTATATACATTAGAGGATGCACGATCAGACTTTTTCAAATTTTCAGTTTAGACAACATAACTTATTTCGAAATAAAATTCAATTGCTTATTGAGCTAATTTGCTAGAAGTTGATTTGAATTAATGCTCTTACTAATCAAATATAATTGAAAGACATAACGTGATCTTAAAATGGCATGATTTTCTTTTGCAGTTTTATACAAATAATACCTTGTCAAATCTTATGACTTCAAAATTGCTAATTTCTGTATTGACATTCGTAATTCAGCAAAATAAGCTTAATTTTTTAATAGTAATCGCATATTACTGAAATATTAGAGCACTAGATATGTTTAAAGATTTTCTAGACAAGATAGTTATTCTAAAAGAAATTTTAACATTAATTACTCATTATGAAACACTGTGTAACAAAAAAAAATTACAAGTTCTGCAAAGTAAAAAATATTAATCGAATTTTATGTTTTGATGTATTTAATAAAACAAAAAATTATAAGATAAAAATTTGTTACTTTTTCCCTAATTTTCGATAATAATTATTAAAGGACAAAATAAAATGTGGGACAAATAAAAAAATTTATAAAAATAAGAAAAAAAACAAAAATATTAATTAAAAATTTTTATAAAGTTTGTTAAATTTTTACGTTTACATCAAAGTCTTTATTATAATGGTTATTCACAGATATAATTAATTAATTAATATTAAGTTTTTATATTAATTAATTAAAACTTTGTCTTTGTAAAATATTGATATTAACACGTTGTCAGAATTGACAACTACAAGTGTCATAAAATTTTGCTCTGAATTCGTTAGTAATTTGGCATTATAGATTACTGATTGATGGCTTAAACTTTAAGATCCAATTATACCTAACGATATTGACCAAGAACTTTCTTAATAATGTATTCAAAATAGCAGTATTAGTCAGAGTTTATACATTAAACCATTTTGTTTGAGTCGATTTTTAATAAAATCGTGGAGTTTGTTTGACGGGCAGAATAAAGGCCTTTCAACGAACAAAATCAAAAAAACATGTCTCATTTTTAAACCTTGCCATACGGTAACTATTTTATTATAAATTATTATACACACTTATGCTTACACGTTGTTACTACGGAGTTGGTATTAATACACAATTTAGCAAATACAACCCTTACTCTAATCTCGAAATTGTGGATCCTCGCATGTTACGTACAATAAACGCGGAATTCTCTTCCCCGCCTAAATAAATTTCAATATTTTAAATATTCGATTGTTTTCGAATTTATAAGAATCCTTTAAATTTTCATTCTATTCAATATAACAATTTTGGCATATTAATGTATAAAACTCAAAGTTCAATTCCCAAATACCAAAAAATAAACAAAACCTTTTCAAATTTTCATAATATTCTTTCACGCCAATAAAACCAACCTATCAATAAACTTATTTAAAGAATTCATGGTAAAATTTTCTTTCTTTCAACAATTTATTAATGGATTTACTCCATTATCCTTTAATGTTTATTGAAAATTAAACTCTATATATATAAATAATATATATACAAATATATACGAATCAAAGAAAAGAGCTTAAAATAAATAAAAATGAATGAAAATTTAAATTCTTTTTGAAATCAAATTAAAATTTACGACATAAGAGAGTTAAAAAAGTTTTTTTTTAACAGTTATAAAAATGCTATTCAAAAATGAATACTTACTTAATCGATTTATTGGCCTTTTGTTTGATATCATTGTTTTTATTATAAAAGTAACTTGGCTATGTATATAGGTTTATTGTGTATAGCGTTTTTAAGGGAATTTTGGAATTACGACAATCTCCTCGAAAATAGTCAATAAAAATCTTTAATATTATCTAATTTTCGGTTGGATTGTCCGGAATGCGGAATTTTTTTATCAAATTCTGAATAGAGCAGATGCATTATAAACTTATATATACATTATATAAGTATACATATATTAACAATAAGATTATTGTTAAGGAAAATATCATCCAAAATTTATTATCTAATTTTAATCAATATTGTTTTTATAAAATTTTTTAAATATTTGAATTTGTTATTTTTATAATTTAAAATTTACTACAAAATATTGTTGAATGACAAAATTTCTTTAAAATGACTATTTTAAAGAATTTGAATATTAGATATTTGGCAATTAATTGCGTTCCTTTAAAGAACAATTTAAGAAAAGCTATTTTGTCATCTCTTTTCCCAATATAACACAAAATTTTATACACAATAGTATTCCATCGACAAAACCCATTTTCCATCCAAATGTAGTATATCTAATTATTGTTTATTGTCAGCACAATAACCAACATACATATAATCATTATATATGTACTAGAAAGCTGAGAAGTCAATAAATTGAAAATCACTTTTATATCAAAAATGAGTTACTGTATTCAAATCGTACTTTGTTAATAACGGCTTCGGTTGGCCAAAGTACTGAGTCTGAACCTTTTACAGTTGTTGATTTTTTTAAAAATATTGTTTTGGCAATTGAACGTTTTTCATGTATTTTCTATTGTTAATAAATTAATTTTGCTGACTCATACTAACGGATTTCTGAACCATCCATAAAATTACGTTAGTGGAGTAAAAATTCGAATAATTTTCTTCTAGTTGCAAATTTTGTTAGTTAATTATAGGCAACTGAAATTATATTAAGTCATATTTTAAATAAAAATTTTTATATTGAAGACGTTTCTTAAATTTACAATAAATGCGTGTTTTTTTTAATATATTTGCATAATACTCTACCAAAATGTAGATCTAATATCAACTTAATTTTTTCAGCAATAAATCTTAATTGTTGAATAAATCAAATCACAGCTCGATCTGAATTTTGGCAGACGCCGTATTTTGTCTTGAAAATTAATAAAATTTTGGAAATTTTATAAAAATTTATATTTAAACATGATAATGCGATTTAAAAAATTAATTTTCGAATAAACAAATTTTTTTTACAAAATTTATTTATACATAAACATAAAAAAATTTGTACAACTCTTAAAAACCACAGAAATAAGGTTACATGTGCACACATAACATAAAATATTTAAAATAACCTCTCTGACAATCAATATTATCATACTATACGCAAACTGTTCTTGACAACACAAAATTTATATTGAAATGGAGGAGAACACCTCACATTTAGAAACCTCACTTTTTTATTTTCAATTTTATTTCAACACAACATTTACATTTTTAACAATCAAACTTTTAAAATGTCATTGGTTTCCGAAAAACTTCATACATAAATTTAAGGTTTGGAATATTTAATATTATATCTTAGAATAAATAATGCATATGTACGTATGTATATACAATGTGTACATACGTTTTATTCATAATACCATTACAATAATATAATTTTGATGTGTACTCGTATGTATATATATGTATATATATAATAAATAAAATTCACAATAACGGTTCATCTAACACGCATTAATAACTTACATAATGTACAAATTCCGTTATATTAAAAACTTTTTTTTTGTGTTTGTATATATGTATGTGTATATATGTAAATTGTATAAGTGTACATACTTACATACATGTGTATTTACAATCACTTTATTTTTAAAACATGTTTAGCTGTTTGCTGTGATATTTTTGTTTTTTTAAATAGAAAATTCAAACTTTGCAATAAATCTTTTTCTATCATTCCTTTTTTTTCTTGTTTCTCTTTTTCTCTTTTTTTTTTGTTTTTCTATTATTTTACAGGAAATGGAAAGGATAAAGAGTCTAAACATCATCGTGATAAGGATGTTTTTACAACTTCCTCAATACATCGATCACCCGGATCTGCTGGTAAGTTTCACACAGTTTTTTTTGGTTTTTTTATTTTATAAATTTTTATAAATGTAGGCACATATATTTTTAAGAATTATTAATTTTATACAATGTCATTATATTAAAAATAAAATTAAATCATATAATAAAATATTATTTTAGTGACATAATATTCAATTGATATTGTAGGTTAGTGGGCCAAACTTCATAAGTAGTTCATAATTAAGAATGGTTTCCGTATAATTGAAATTTATATTTTTAGTTATTTGCGAAATTTAAACAATGAATTTAGTTTTTACTAAACTGGACGGGACCCGCATTCCAAATTCGTACTGTTAAATACGGTTACATAAACTTTTTTAATAGTTTAGAGATATTCAGTTCTAATGTAACAAATAAATATCAAACTGTTAAAATCGGTTTGCAGAGATACCCGATGTATGTACGAACAAAAATTGAATTTTTATTTTCAAATTTGAAAACATGAAATTTCCAAATTTTAAAAACTATTATTAGTGCATTGTATGTACATAAAATATATAACAAATAGACCACTCTGAACTTTCACATCATATTTAATCATGTGTCTGCTTCAAACAGAAGTCAAAATATATTTTAACTTGCAAAAAAACAAAAACGATCTTTCTGCAATGACTTCAAATACCAGTATTTTGGAACTTGTCAAATTTTGAGCGCTATTCCCATGAAAAAGTCTTTCTCTCATCTGTAAGTCTATATAGAACTACATAGTAAAGCATATAGTGAAACAACAAAAGTAGCACCGTTATCGCAAATTCAAACTGTTATTCATTGCTTATATATATAGCGAACCAATATATAAGCCACCCGATTAATTAGAGTTCATTTAGGATTATTTTAAAATAGAAATTTTACCATTAATAGCATCTTATCAATAAAAATCATTTCTCTTATTATATTCTTCCATATTCTAAATTGAGACAAAGATCCTGTAAATATATTCAATAAAATTAGAAAAAAATTTAAAGAAAATTTTTCAATATGTGACAATTCTTAACCTTTGAAAAAGAAGTGTTTTTAATTAAAAAGACAAATAAAGTTGGGTCAAACCAATGGTTTGTATGGTAGCACTTTTCCCTTCAACAAGTGAAAATATTGCTTTTAAAAACAGTTTATGTATATCCACCACGCTATTAAAATTATTTTCATTCATAAAAGAAATTATTTCTAGGATTGCATATATTTAGGATGAACGATTTATGCAGTCTTTGAAATAATGCAAAACTTAATATAAAGAGGGGTTAACATAATGCTCGATTTTAAGGGCTAATTGTGTGAGTTAAGGAAAATAATTATATTTTTTAATGTAATGGAATTTAACGTTAGATTTTTGCCTTTATAGAAATTTGAAAAAGTTTGCAATTTCGGAAATATAAAGCGTCAAAAATCCAAATTTTACAAATTTCAAGAGGTGATAACTTGAGAGGGGGGGAAATGGAAAAAAATTTTCTTCTAACGAAATGAACTATTTGTTAATGTCTAAAAGCCCCTAATTTCAAGCTTCTACAGGCTGGGGTCTAGAAGAAAAATGACATCAAAAATATTTGGGAAAAAGGGACTTTAGATAACGGTAAATTTGAATGGCCATTTTGTTTTTCTAAAGTTTAACTATGATATACCGCGTTAGGGGAAGCAAGCCACTGCCTTTCTGCGTTTGCAAAATTTAAAAAATGCTTATGGTTTCATTGCAACAAATAGTTGAAAAAGGCAATTTTTATGGTTTTGGGGGGGTATAACTTCTAGAGGGGGCGAGATAGGTAAAAATTTTGTTCTACGAAAATAAGTTTCTAATAAATATCTATGTACGTATTAAATTTCAACTTTCTATCTTTAAGGGTGTAGAAGTTTTGTAAACAGACACTCGGATAGACGGACGGACGAACGGACAGAGTGAAACTAATAAGCACTTTTTTTCAAAAAATTTTTGGAATATAAAGGCTAAAAATAAGTTATGAACCATAAAATTTTATGGGAATAAAGTCTAAGGAGTAAAGAGGAAAAGAAACAAAAAAGAAATTTTTTTTGGAACAATTTGGGCGCGCCTTCATTTTGTCCGTGTTTAATAGATCCCATTATCGCATGAAAACGTATGTATATACTTGTAAAATACACACATGCATAAACGCATCATACACATGAACAAATCTATTGCCTATATTATAAGGCAATTTTGGCCTACACAAAATTTTTAAGGATACAACACAATACATGTAAACACATTTACTTTTCATTACATTTCTATTATTTTTCTGAATTTAAAAAAAAAAGAATAGGAAAAATTAAATACATTTTGAGTTACAGGGTGGCTCTTTAATTAGATTTGTTACCAAATTGAAAAATTTTTGTTAAATTTTTTTTTAACTAAAAGCGGTTAAAATCGCGAAACCTTAGCGATGCCGATTTGTCTAAAAATAAATGAAATACAAACAATTAAAGCGAGTGACATTATGAAAATCAAAATGCAAATCAGAAAAGAACTCATGCTGAAAGTACGTATGAAGTATTTGCATCAAGAAATCCCCAATCAAAATAATTTTTATTTTGATCGGGTCTCATTCGGTCTGTTTTTTATCGATATCACAGGTAAAGAAATTTCTATTAATTCATTCTCAATTTAATAATTAAGAATTCCGATAGCATACTATATTTCAATTTTTACCAATTCCAAAGGCCTACACCTTGTCTTCAATATTCACATATAGTGTAAAGAAAATGTCATTTTGTTTTTTTTTCTATATTATATGATTAGGGTGTTTTTTGTTGCGTTATCCTTTTGCTTATATTTTTTTCATTTTTCCCCTTACTTTTCAAACATAATTTTTATTATTTTGTGTACGGAAGCAGATTAAAGGCAAGGCAATATGACAGCTAATGTACATGACCCAGTTGAGGGATTTTTTTTTCCCACTTTTCTCGTTTTCACTTTTTCGCCTTGTTACGTTATGGCTTTTTGTTTGTGTACTTTAAACAGAAATGACAATGACCTGGAAAAAAAAAGTGAAAAAAAAAATAATATAAAATAAATAAGTAAAGGATAAGCCGTTATTTTAAGTATAACTGTAACAATTATTTAGAATTTTTTTGTTTTTGTTTTCCTTATTTCTTTCCTTGTTGTTATACAATATTTGCTTAAACTCTAATAAAAACCAAGTATATGTATATATGTATATATAAATTGTTATATTTAATAAGACAAGTTCAAATAAGTATACATGAAGTGTTTTATATGTTCCTATATTACAGGATTTTAAGGGCGATTTGAAAAATATTTTAAAAGAAAAAATATAATCTTTCTGTTTTCTATTAAAGTTTTACAATTCTAAAATATTTTCTATATTAAAAATTTTTATACTTTTTTATTTAAAATTTTATACAATATTGAACAAAAGTTTAGGAAAACAATTTCTATTTTATGGATTAGCTATTGTCCTTTAAAAAAGAATTTTATGATTCTCTTAAAAATACGTAATAAATATTTTTTTACAAAATAAAATTAAATTTCGTCATTACATGTATAATAAAAATATTTGTAGTACTTGTAAAAAATGGGGAGAAAAGAAGAACATTTCATTGCTTATACACGAACAACAGAATTGCGAAAAATCAAATTCCGTGTTAAATTAAAAAAAAAAAATTAAATATAACAAAAAGAGTGCTATCAAATACAAAAATTAGCAAATAAATTTACTTAAACAGCAATTATATACATTAGAATATATAGACTAAACTCAAAAGATATAAAAAATTGCCGAAATGAAGGTACCATTTTCCAAGACATTATTCGCTTTTGACTGTTGTGAGACTAAAATATTATTATAGAATTCGCTATTTTTAAACTAAAATATTGATATTGGGTGTTTTCATCCAATCATGTCATTTCAATGCCAATTAACTTAAAGGATTCCGAGTCGGCGACTTATATCACAGTTAAGAAATCAAAGTTTGTACTTATATTCCTTCTAGTACAGATTTTATTGCCCAGGGCCCTTTTGCATTGCACCAACAACTTATCAAAAAATTTGTAAAATTTTCGTTGCACCAAAAGTGAAAGTGATAAGTACTCAATAAGCTTATCGAAACTAAAAAGAACTCATTTATCAGAGTTATCGCCTCTTGAAATTTGTAAAATTTTAATTTTTGACACCTTATATTTCCGAAACCGCAAGCTTTTTCAAATTTCTATAAACGCAAAAAGCTAACGGTAAATTCCATGACATTAAAAAATATAATTATTTTTCTTAACTCTTACAATTAACCCTTAAAATCGAGCATTATGTTAACCCCTTTTTATATTAATTGCATCATTCTAATTTAATTAAAAATAATTTTAATAGTGTGGTGGATATACGAGTACATAGACAGTATTTTCACTTGTTGAAGGGAAAAGTGCTACAATACAAACCATTGGTTTGACCCAACTTTATTTACTTATCAAAAAATGATAAGTTGCAAAGTTGATTAGTAAGTGAAATTTGCAAAACTTTGGTGCAATACTTGCAAATTAATCGTATCAAAAAAACCTTATTTTGTAAGTTAATAAGTGATAAGTTGTTGGAGCAACAGAACCCATCTGCAATGTTTACGAATATTGTAACGTTAGTCTTTTAAATTTACAATAAAATATCTACTGATAAATAATTTTATCGCATTTTCTAAAGAATCTAGAGAAATACTAAACTATGTAGAGAATTTTAATTTGTAATGAAATGAAAAATTTCCAAACTTAAATTATGCAGTTGTAATTGGTACACATAAAACAATTCTATTATACAAAATGAGCCAAGAATAATTGATTTAATAATATGGTATACAATTTTCTAATACCTTAATAAATGATTTAAAACAAATCAAGTTCGTTGCAATTTATTAAAGAGTTCAAAAAATTCAACTTAAATGTTTAAAAAATTCGAACAACAAACAATTTTCTTATTAAATTTATTTATTAATGTTATATTGATAAAAAAAATAATTCTACGATA